ATAATCTTTTCACTCGTGTCTATCAATTTTCAAAAATAGCTAGTCCGACTTCACGCCCCAGGGGCGTCTAGTTTGTTTGTACTTTGACACTAGCTATCTGTGAGGGCACTTCTCGTCATTCTCACCCAAAAAGTTGGATCTAAACTGAAATATCTATTCTGCAGCCCTCAAATGAACAAGAGTGCCAAGTCATGTCAAAAATCATTTTCCTGAAATTTGTTGAACAAGCTCAAAAGGGGCAATTTATGAGATGTTGTCAACTTTAAATAGCCAGTGTGTACCATTATGCTTTGGGGTCGCGAGGTCTGCGTTTCGAATCTTTGACCATCTCACTTTTCTAAACACTTTAAACGCTAATATAGTTTTCAATCATCTGACATTCGTTTTATGGTGATATTTGGATACTAGAAGTATTTTGGTGTAAATCACTACAATAACAGAGGCTCGCAAAGCATAATGGTGCRAACTGGGCCTTTTTATTTTCATAATTTATTCACTTTTCGGGTGTTATTGTATTATTTTCAAATTTTTTCTTTGGTGCATTGAGTATTATTTTTGGTTCTACGTCGTATTCGTGGATATGTATTCTGTGAAAGTAAGGATGAAGTGAAATAAAATGCAAAATAGATGGATAACATGCTTTGTTAGCACGTGATCGTCTCCATAGAAACGATCCAACCAACACCAGTACAGTACAAGATGGCGGACAAAATCAAATGAAAAGTCAATTATTTTTTGTTCATATTTTGAGTCTAATATGGCTAAAAAGACAGCATTAGACAARGGAGATAAGTCAGAAAAGAGAGGGTCTTCAGCAGATAAACACAGTGGCGACAAAACTCCCGTTGAACCGCCGAAAAATGCTGATGAACCCGAAGCTCTTGGTAAGAATTTGTGAATTCTTTTGGCAWACGATTGCATTTAAAATAACTCGATAAATAAACGGCCCTTTGCTTTTATATTTCAAAGAAAAGTCATTGAACTGCTAGAATATAATGTTTACTTTTCTTCTGTGTTGACGATGTACTCGTTTTCCAGTAAACTATAAGATTTTACAAGCTGTAAGTAAGCCTGAAACTTTACACTAGCTTACAAGGCAACGACAGTACAATATATTGGCCTTGTTCTTACAATCCAGGTATACATCCCATACTTCCATGTTGAGACACCACTTTTGTCTTTAGCGATTTCTTTAAGGGCGATTTTTGACAATCCTGATGTAGAAAGGCTTGTTGTATATCCTTTGTCCTCAATATGAATAGCATTTCGTGTTTAGTGTGACTACCTTTTGTAAGGCATTATTTACTGACATGTCAAAAACCATGGAATTGTTTAACAAAGTCTCATACCTTAATTACTTAGAATGGATTCAATTTTTKTGACCTCGTTTTTGTACACCGATTATTTACAGAAAAGGACAGTTTTCAATTAAGTATTAATCCTAGAGTCTTTTAGAATGTTTGCCACTCTGAAATCAGTGTCCAAGATGAAGAAAGCAATCAAAAAAAGTGATCGGYCTGAATCACGAAGTTCTGCAAGTCCAGTAGTAGTGATTGAAACTTCTGAGTTATTTATTCAAGGTCCTCTGATGATATTTGGAGGTTGGTTAAATCATATACCCCACTTTATATGTCAGTTTCTCAAACTTCATTTACCCGATTTCTTTCTACATAATGCTGGTAATCTTTTAAGATTAWATCCCTTACAATGAAAGTGTTTTGGTATCTTGAAAATAATAAATGCTGTAAGTCCTTTAGATCATGTACAATAATTGTAGCAGATTCCTTTGTTACTGCCTCAGTAATCAACATTACATCTCTTGTACTATATACAGCCAGGAAGCATYTTTGTTGTCACTGGGACTTTAAAGTACAGAATGGCTGCAGATCATTTATAGACTTTTTTTAATTTCTCAATTGAACTGTTCTAAAGAACTGGAAGTTATTTACATTACTAATAAAGAAGGGTTGAGAAGTGCTTCTATCAATYGCTGGCTTATAATTTCTCTTGGTATTTTTGCTAGAATACGGTGTAGCATCTTTTTTCTAAAGTGAAGTTCACACATCTGTGTGCATCTTTCTGCATATCATTTTGAAGTACAGTTAAAAATAACCATGAGAAGTAGTGAAATAATATTCTCTTCATCATTATTTTACTTTGTCTCACCAATGGCTCTTGGTATTGTGAACAGAGTGCTACTGCACTTCACCAATAAATTTTTATGACATTTTAAAATCACTCCATTATATTTTTATGAAGAAAGGTATACTACAACTTGCTGCCATATTTTATTACTGTATTGGATGGGTTACCTGTGTGTTCTTCAGACTTTGCCAAAGACTCAAAACCAAGGTTCTTGACATGGGTGTTTTGGTGCWGTAGATCAACCAGACATCTTTGGTGTTTTTTCTCACATACTGACTACAATATTTTAAGCAGCTAAGCTAAAGAATTCAACAATGTTCATGAAGTTGGAAGCGGAGTCTTGTCAAATAAAGATACATGTAACTTGGTGTTACATTTAGCATGCTGTTTTTTTAATCAAAAAGGAATCATTACTGTTAATATATTAGTTGTTTATATGCARAGCCTTGGTGGAAATCATTCTCAATTTGTAGTGTTTAAAGTAATTAAACTTAGGGTCAAAATACAGTGTAATGCATTGTTTTGGACTCAATAACTAATTTCAAATGGTTCTCTTGAAGCAGTAATTTTAATGCCTCTTTTTTCTTCTATTAAGTATAGATCAAGAGATTGTTTAGTACTATTTTAATGTGATTTGTTTACATTTAGTTCTACTAATGAATCTTGAATAACTTTTAGGCCACACTTGTAATTTGTCTTACCAAAATATAATCCTGGTACCTAAATGCAAACAATGACTACTTAGACAGMGCTGATAAGAACAGTTACCAATAGTATTATGAGTCGAACTCAGTGCTGTGTGAAATGTTTGTCTGCCTCATTGAATTTGGTATCCATCCAGTAGATGTCACTATAATCCAACTGAAATATAATTTGCATCTTCCTGAAAGACACATGTTGATTTAATACTGTAGTTACAGCGATAATTGAATAAGTTGCCTTAAGGAAATTATAATAAAATTAACGTCAAAATTACAAAAGTTTTCATTTGAATGAATTCAAAACTAAGTTTAGTAAATAAATTAAAATAAAAGAATTTACCTTCTGAATTTGAGTGCTCTTGTTACAAAATACTAAAACCATAATTTCCGTAACAAGATTTGTGTATTTGCTACGATTATACAACGATACAGCTAATAGAATAACAAACGTCCTTGTTTCATGAGCCTTGTATTGAATATTAAGGAAATATGTAAAGTTTGATTTAGTTATATTAAAACAATTGTGTTTGTCAAAAGCCTTTTGTTATAATTGAAGTGTTTAGCCCTGTGGGAGTATGTAGCTTTTGTCTAAACACTTAATTATCTTGTTCTTGTTATTCTTTGACAGAATTAAAGTTTGATTGCATTTAAAACCTAAAATGCATCGACATGAAGTACTAAAATAGTACAGGATCAAGACTTATAAAGCTTCAGCATTCTTGAAATTATGATAAGTTAACTACGTAAGAGTGGTGGATAATAATTTCATTAGTTTAATTGGAGTGTGATTTGAAGTGTTTTTGTTATTAGTCACAATGCTTTCAAGGTTCAACGACCACAATGTTATAATGATTGATTGTTTTTAGTTACCATGGTGCATTATTCATTCTTAAGGAGTATTCCTTTCTTCTTCATGGCCAAGTATAGGTAGTGATTTTTACCTCCACACACAGTTCTGCAGTGTGTGTAGTTGTGAATGTTGTGAATGACATGTCTTGTAATGTAATGGAGCCAATTCAAGAGACTAGTGAGAATAACATTCATGAACTTGAAGGTACATGTAAGTTAATCATCACCATGATATATATTCAACCTACTGATTTGTGAACTAATTGAGTGTGATACTCCTAGTACCTCACATTGCTTATTTATGTACTGATATTTATGGATTAAATATAATGATTATTATTAATGTAAAAACAGTATATAATAATTTCCTTGATAGTTTCAATTTCTTAGAGTATAACTGTACCAGTGAATGCTACATGTATGTGCCTAATTTTGTATAAAAAATAATATTTATTTTTGGCTTAGTATTGCATGTACAAAAAGTGAGTTCTGCAGTAGACCTGAGACATTTTTGGCAGATACTGGCTTTGCATGCATGTGGCTTCACAACATACCTTGAGTTGGAGACATCAAAATCAATCAAGCATTGACAATTTAATTAGAGTGAACACACTTCTGTTTAGACTTCTTCACTTTGAGCATATAGGAACCTAAAGTTTTAAATTAGGTTCTTATCAGAAGGCAGGACTGCTATAAAACTATCACTATCATACTGCTGAATTTATTTTATTTGCTGAATTATTGATTGTTTAAAAACAATCTTGTATTTAAAAGAAAAACTGATGAGCATTTCTCTTATATACAATTATTACTGAAGTTAATCAATAATTTAAACTGTGGTTGCTTTCGTAAGTCATTGTTTATATCTACTCACTATTTGACTATTTTACTGATTGTGAATATTTTGTTAATTTTTTTGATGTTGTAGCAGTTATAGTTTTGATGTAAATGAGCACTAGCTTACTCATAGCACTGTGACTTGTAATGTTTTTCCAGAGCCATACACTCCAACTGGAAACTTTGAAACAGACTTTTGTGAACTTTGTATACGTGCTGGATTTCCCACAATGCAGGTAGTACCACGTCCACAGCGCCCACCATTAGCTACACCTATTGACAATACTACATCTACAGGAAAGAGTGATAAGAATAGCAGTAAGTAAATATTTTCTACATGTAGATCTTATGTCAAGAAGAAGTTTTCCTACCCTGCGAACAGAGTGTATTTTTCCTACCCTGCGRACAGAGTGTATTTTACCTTACCTCAATAAAAATTCGCGAAGGAAAATATTTAATATAATATATATATTTATTTTCCTTCGTGACTTTTTAAGGACCTTTGATTCTGTTGGATCATATGATTCAGCGTAGCTAATCAATTTACATGTATTTAACTACAGCTGTTGTTAACTGAATAGCTACTCACCCATTAGAAAGTCTACATTMTTCATCTATTGTTGCTTAACTACAGCTGTTGTTAACTGAATAGCTACTCACCCATTAGAAAGTCTACATTATTCATCTATTGTTGATTGAGGTCAGTCAGTACAATACAGTTTTTGACACATAAATGTCCACCATTTAAGAGTTGCCGGTAGTCAAATGGCTGATAAACTTTGAAAGTCAGATGTTAATTATTAAAAGTCACTTCTTGAATTTCTTCAGATAAAGATGAACCCATCAAACAAGATGATGTAACGTCTCCAGGGGAAGAAGAAGAACCTTTGATAGCAACATATGTCATTAAGGAAAAATACAGTTATTTCCAGCCCAGGGTTGAAGTGGAACTGGATGATGAGGGCAACAAGGGAAATGTAAAAGAGATTTACGTTAGAGGTAGGTAATTTTAGACTTCTTGATTGAAATTGTGTGCAGATGTTTTCACATACAGTTAGTAGTTTTGTATAGTGTTGTTTTATTTGTTTGTTTCCATGGTCAATGATTGTCATGTAAGTTATACCATGTACTATAAACATGCTTTCTACTTTTCCTCTTCTGCAAGGTTGGAAAATTGATGACCGTATATTAGAGATTTTTACTGTAACACTACCACCTTTAGACAAGCTAACAAAAATTGAGTAAGTGTTAAGAGTGTTAAGTGGTACTGCAGCTGATGTGATGCTTCAGTCTCTGACACAATATAGACTGCAATACMAAATATTTTTATGTATTATGCTCAATTTCCAGACACATTTTTGCACGGGCTGTTAGTGGGGGCTACGAAAATGTGTTACCCTTGGCTATTGATTTGGTACATAGAGTCCTCTGTCGAGATAGGAGAGTCCTGTAACCCCTGGAACCAGTCCCCCCTAAAAGATTGCAGGACCCGTCAGCCAGAGTGACCATACAAACTCCCTTCTGAATTAATATTGTTTGTTATATTTGCCATTCTTTTTGTACTCATGTACTCAATGTACTCGTGATATCTTTTTACAAGGAAAAAACAGTTATTTTATAATTATTGATAGTAAATCATCAGGTACTGTAGCTGGTTTTCACTGAATTTGCAATTTCATTTCATCAGTTTGTGGAACAATGCTCTTACAGACAGCAGTATAACCACATTGGCTAGTTCTATACAAAACCTGCCCAATTTGAGGTCAGTGAACATACCCAGTAAATATAAACTTGTCTCTCTATTCACAAAATTTCCAACTTTCTCCACAGAACACTTTGTCTTGACAATAATCCCCTGACTTTGCAGAGATATGGAGTATTTCTGGGAGAAGAGAGCACGTAAGCATTCAACACATCATATTAAAGAACTAGAATAATAATGACATCCATTGTTAAACCGATTGGGTGCAGATTCCCATTATATTCATAATTATTAGTAGATGTGTGATGATTGATAATTATTTTGTAGATTAATGGGAGGTTTGTTGTACTTTTTTGTGTGCTTTAAGTGGGATTCTTCCCATTTCAGACAGCATGTAGTAGTCTGTCAGTTGTTATCTATTACAACAGAAAGCAAATGCAGTGAAAAAAATAGTCAATATATTCATTCAACTCTAATAGCCATGTATGTACTTGTATGTTCACTTGCAATATTGTTTCTTGCTGTAGTATCCAGAATCTGTCTCTTCGCAACTGCTACATTAATGACATGGGAGCTAAAATGATTGGCAATGCCTTGACTACCAACAAATCACTTGTGAGTCTGAACTTGTGTTTCAATAAATTAACTTGTGAAGGAGCAGGAAACCTTGTTAAGGTAAGTAAAATACCTAGTATACCTAGAATAATAGTTGTTATTCATCTGAGATGGGTAATTTGCATATTACATGAGATGTATAGCCTCACTGTTTTGGAATAGATAAAAGTTGTTAAACTTTTTTTTTTTTTTGCTGCAAGCTCTGTAGCAGTGCAAAGAAATGGCTACCTTTGAATATCTGTACAATGGAACATACAGTATAATTTATCATTTATATTGATTAAATGTTGACAGGGATTACGCATGAATAGGACTTTGCTCTCTTTAAATCTTGGAAGCAATCTTATTTCTGATGTAGGAGCATCCAAAATAGCTGAGGTAATGTTACTATGTATTACTCGATACTGTCGTTCAGTTTGATATAATGATGTTTTTGTACCCCAACAAATGGTTGAGTTAATGATATTGGATTGGTTGATCTAGAGTGCTAAGTAGCCAGGATTTAGGATCATATCAATCCTGTGAAGTCATTTTTATTAGTTGCTTCTTATTCTTAGTATTTCATTTGTTAAAGTTTTTTACCAAATTAAAGTTTCATTCTCTGTCAGGTTATCTCCAGCTTCTCTTTAACCCACGAAGAAATCATTGCAAGAAGGCTTCTAATATCAAAGAAATCACCAGATGATGTAMCTATCAAAACATCTTCTTTGTTTAAATATGTAAAAGAGTGCAATATTAAGAACTTTATTCATAATGAAATATGACAATAAAATAAAGGAAAATCACTGTCATGGTACTAAACATGCATGTTTTTTTTTCTCCATGGATTATTCTCCATGAATTTGATGAATAAGAAACCAATCATGCTTCTAAAGACAACTGCTTCGTTGTTTTATAGGCAGCAAGCCCCTCAAGAAGCTTGAATGCCCCTGCAGGGGGTTCTAAAGAAAGGCCAGCTAGTGTAAGAAGTGGGTAAGTAAATGACATAAAATGCTGTAGAACTGTKGATTGTAAACCCAATTTACACATTCATTTTGTCATTTTAATTACCATTGCTTGTTCAAGAAGCTACTTAGATGGTTAACAATCCTATGGCAATTACCAAATGTTGTACTTTTTGATTTGAAGAAACATTGAAAGTAACAAGCTGAGGAGGAAATCTATAGTGATCCCCTTGAGGGGGGGGGGGGTGCTTATGGGAGTTTGAACTGTATTTATTGACCTTTGACCTACATCTACGTGCCTACATTGTACCCTACCATTGCCTACCTACCTACATTAACATACCTATGTTATCCTACCTACATTACCCTACCTACCTTACCCTAACTACCTTAACTATACCCTGCCTATCTAACCCTACCTACCTACCTTACCAATACCCTGCCTATCT